CTATCTATTGTTTTTGCATGTATTTGTTATATATTTCCTAGATTCCACCCCCCCCCCCCGTTTCCTCCACCTAAGCCCTTCCCCTTACAAGAGCAGTATTCACTCGCCTCCACTGTATTTCTTTGCCCATTAGATTTGTCCTCAGCGCTGAACTCTCGTACCCTCACCCTCCTCAATTGCCTGGAAGAAAAGTGAAATTATTTGTCCAGAAGAAAAGTAAAATCATTTGTCCAGAAGAAACTTGAAATTATTTGTCCAAAATAAAAATGAAATCATTTGTACAAAATAAAAATGTTGCTCACCATGTTTACTAATTTCACCGCCGACGGAGGTAAGGTGGGGTCAAGGTTGTAATTTTTTGGACAACTATGATCGTTTTTTTTTTTATCATTATGAAAGGTCAGTAATAATACTGGATAGCCAACAATACTGAATGGACAAAAATAATGGATGGCAAAAAATACCAAATGACCAACTGGATGGCTAACAATACTGGATGGCCAACAATACCAGATGGCCAACAATACCAGATGGCCAACAATACCTGATGGCCAACAATACTAGGTGGCCAAAAATAACAGATGGCAAACAATTGTGGATGGCCAACAATACCAGATGGCCAACAGTACTGGATGTGCTGGGTCCTGCATGTGACCTTGTGATGTATCCTACATATGACTAAGTCCTACATCTGACCTTGTATTAGGTCCTGCATGTGACCTTGTGATGTGTCCTATATATGACCTTGTGATGTGTCCTACATATGACCTTGTGATGTGTCCTACATATGACCTTATGCTAGACTCTGCATTTGACCTTAGGCTACACTTACCTCCCACTTGCAATCTCAGTCAACACTGCATATCAAGTTCATTAACCTAATTTATATTAAATTGAAAGTTAAAATACAGGTTATAATACAAGTTAAAATACAAGTGAAAATAAACGTAACAATTACTTAGAGATAAAAGTACGATACTGCCTCCTACTGGCGATTTAAAAATCTACAAGTATATCGTTAAGGTTTTTAACCTTACTTCACCAATTACTAAGGCAGTTAATGTCGTCGTTCTGTGGCCATTGTTTTCTCTATGACATTTTAAAACACAACAAACAACTCCTACGTCAGGGTGTCATGGCGGCGGATCACGTGTCGTCCATTGAGAAAATTAGTCCTTGATTGATAACTCAATATCACAGACTACATGTTAATAACTAGACTCTACTTCACGGGGTTAAAATGGCAATCAAGCAGGGTAGTAACTAGCTTATAAACTAGCATTAAAACTTGGTATTTTCAAACTACGCTATCGAAAAATAAGGGAGGTAATTAATATTTTTTTATGATATTGACATTCATATTAACTGACTCTTATTAGTTATATTTAAAAACAAAGTTTTGAATAAAAAAGATTTTTATTATTTTTGTAAATATAATGTCTGAGATAAAGTAAAGATTGGAGTGGGTTGTAACAAAAATGTGTAGTTATATTTTAGGGAAATAAGTAAGTTCATTACCTGTAAACGTTTAAAGATGAATGTACCTTGAAGTAATCAATGTTGCAACATTTCAAGTGATTAGTAGACTGAACTCAAAGATTACTTCGTTAAATTTGGACTACATACAAATTAGACTTTATATTTAGACGTTTTGTATTAGATCTGTGTATAAGTAAACCATCTTAAATGAATAAAAGTAGGCTACAAGTGCGAAAGAAATATTACTATTGTAAATCTGTATCCGTCCTCACAAGCCGATGATGAAAACTGTAATACTAAAGCGAACACACAACTGACGCTATAAATTACGTGTCTGAGGCAAAAAAAAGAAAGAAAGAAAAAATACAAATTAGACATAATATGGTACCCTTACACTGAGTGAGCACTAAACCTTTACGCCACGCCTCCCCCCCCCCCCCACACACACACACACCAACCCATAAAACATGTTAAATAGCTAAAATTAAATTACAAATTATCGTTTTTTTTTTTTTTAAAATAGTAATATTGTTGGTCGTTCTTACCCCTCACAAACCAACTTCACTCAAAGATGCATTCATTAAAGATGTTTGTCTTACATGTTGGTCTAAATGTTGGTAGTGTCTATGCGTGGAAGACACTGATGGGATGGGTGGCACACTTGGGTGACACGTGACAAGACGTAGTTGGCTCTCGATAATTTGCAGCTGTTGGCGTCTTATATTTATTTATAAATTACCAATGTCATTTTAACTACAATTTTACTCTCTAAAAATGATTAGAGATTTTATATATATGTATGTATATATATATATATATATATATATATATATATATATATATATATATATATATATATATATATATATATATATATATGTGTGTGTGTGTGTGTGAGTGTGTGTGTGTCTAATATTGAGTAATTATTTGATACACTCCTCATGTCCAATAGCTGCCTACGCCATTGCGTGTGGCCCATGGTCAAGGTGGGTGGTGACAAACTGATTTACCGCCCCAGGTGACACCTGTTCCCTAGCGACGCCCCCGTGTGTTTTTTCCCTCGACATCTGATTGGCCAGGTGCTCGCTCACGTCGCGCGGTTAACCGGCCTAAAGGGCAGTAATCCTCGATTGATGTATGGTTGAGTCACGTGATTGTTTTCCCCTCTACTCTCTAACCGCGGCAGCTAATCTATAAATAGTTGATTTATTGACCCATGACCTAAACTAACTACCGTGAGTGGTTGAGTGTAAATGCAGACTATCCAAGAAGATCTTAAATCTGAGTAGTCCCTGGTTCAAGTACTGCCAGGGCGGAGTTTTAAGAAAACTGTTCAAAACAATTTCTCTCTATGCTTTCGCTGGCATAAATCAGTAGAAATCTGCCACTTCACGCCAAATAAGTAAATCTGATGACGTAGAGATTATCTGTTTCTTTGAACTCAGCATATTATATATATATATATATATATATATATATATATATATATATATATATATATATATATATATATATATATATATATATATGGATATGGTAGTCGGCACTATGCCCGGCCGCCTTTACTATCACCAACGTGTCACATACCCATCAGCTGTGTAGATTCAGAAAGCTCTAGACTCAGGATCCAGACTTGAAACTTTCGGGTTAGCACTTGTTCGCTCTATAATTCGACCCTTGCGCCCGTGAATCAAACAAAATAGTGCTACTGTTTCTATGACATCTGCCTATGACAGAGTTGCGAGGTCAGCTCTATGCAGTGGCGTAGCGACCCTTCCCGGCGCCCGGGGACAAACTTTAAATTCGCCCCCCCCCCCCGAGCAAATTTTGAATTTGCACCCCTCCCCCAAAAACTTTCGATTTGCACCCCCCCCCCCGAAAACTTTCGATTTGCGCCGCCCCCCCCCCCCCCCCTCCTCTCAAACTATTAATAATGCAAAAATGCAGCTAAAATGACATTTTAATTTGTTTTTACAACCCATTTTGGCGCCCCCTAAGGTCGGCGCCCGGGGACATATGTACCCCCCCCCCTGCCCCCCCCGCATCGCTACGCCTCTGGCTCTATGACCAGCAGCCTTTATGACTTAACACAAACTCTAGCCCAGGAGCTGTGGAGTCTCCTGGTCAATGTGGTAGCACGTCTATCTCGACGCCTTAAGACTGCTTGTTAAAGGCTCTTTTAAAAAGTCCCCCCCCCCCCCAACCACAGAAGCAAGTTCACAGCACTACGAACGAATAAAAGATGTATATAACTTAACCCGGAAATTTAAGATCGCCCCCACCCCACCGCAAATAAATGTCAGAAAGAGACATTGATCAAATAGATCTATAGAAATTCTATTAGAATACAGATATTTTTGTTTAAGAAATGGACTCATTGGCGCCCGCTGAATGCGAATGACAGCTAGAGGGAGACAACCGATTTAAATACGAACCTGAATAGTTTGTGAAGTAGGTTGCCTCCCTTAAAATGACCATGAATGCGCCTAATGTTTTTGACAGGGGGTTACTGCTTTGACGTCCCTCGGGTTATGACCCTTTCAGTGGCGTAGCGGGGGGGGGGGACGGGACATATGTCCCCGGGCGCCGACCTTAGGGGGGGCGCCAAATTGAAAGTTTGAGGGGGGGGGGTGCAAATTGAAAGTGTTTGAGGGGGGGTGCAAATGAAAAGTTCGAGGGGCGTGCAAATCGAAAGTTTGTCCACGGGCGCCGGGAAGGGTCGCTAGGCCTTTGGACCCTTTACTAAATTACTCTCCCTTTCAGGTGGTGACTTTAACAGTCTCTGGCAGGCAGTGACTGGTCAGTTTACACTTAACCTCCAGAACTCAAGAAATCAACTTTACAACTAACATATGGTTGTGTCTTATGATAAAAGGCAGAAATGACACTTCATTGTTTGATTAAAATGTAAATATAATTTTGATATTACAAGTAATATCTGCTAATTAAATAACTCATGAAAAAAATTGAGAGAGTATGTCAAGGTCAATAAATTAAAATTTTATTTTGAGCAGGGCTGGCAGCTAAATGTAAATATTTGATACACTAACAGTTTCATGCTACAGCTTCTGTTAGATAACTGAAAATTTTTTTTTCAACTTTTAAAAAAATTTAAAATATGGATTCAGAATGTAATTATGTTTTACAAAATAAAAATAAAATTATCCCACAGCACTTGTGTCAATAAACTGTTACAGTAGGTCCAACTAGTAATACATTGTATATTGTGAAAAAACAATACATTAAAATTAAACATTAAAAATGTACAGGGTCAAAACAAAATAATAGCTGCTGAAAGAAATGAAGGCCAAACATTGTTTAAAAAATACACAATAACAAAAAACTTAACCAACAATATTCCAAAAATACAATTCAAAAAAGCTGATTTTTTTATTTCTAAAGAGCTAAAATTTTAATTCTTTAAAAATTATCTTTTATTTTATATAATTATTTAGTTTGTTTTATTCTAAAAGTTTTAATAATATTTTGTTATACTACTAGATTAATAACAAAAACAATAACATATGTACACATCATCTCATCAATGTATAACAAATATAATTCTGAACATTGAGCAAAAATACCCGTAACTCCTGAATATATTAAGGCAGTTTTAGTTAGATGAAAGGTTGTTTTTTTTTTTGTTTAACAGAAATGTTTAGGGTGGGAAAGTTTTAGAAAAACTGTGAAACTACCTAAGTTTAAGTGGATAGAAGTGTGGGTGTCTGTACAAGAAACATGGAATGTTTACCTCCCCTGATTTGACCCACTTACAGGCACAGAGCTTTGGTTGGCCTGCAGGTTTTGTTGTCTGCCCATGGCCAGACCCTGACATTTGGCCACCCACAGCTCCCTCAACTTCATGGCCTCCTCCCTCATCGAGACGATCTTGACCTTGAGGATGGAGTTGTCCCTCTCAAGGTGACTGGCCCTCATGGCTAGCTCATCCTCCCTCTGTTTTCTTGCGTCTCTGGATTTCTTCGCCGCCTCGTTGTTCTTGCGCCTTCTTTCGTAATATTTATCATCTTTCTGCTCATCGGGTATGGGTTTTTTCTCACCTCGTGGTCTTCTGTTTTTGTCTGCGTTGAGAGCGTTCAGAGCTCTGGCTAGTACAGGGCTAGAAAGGCCTAGGATAAATGGTTATAAGTTAATTATTTTTTGTGGGTTTTTTATAGCACACGAGCCGACCCGCTGCGTATCATATGCCGCTATTTAGTTGTTTTATTTTCTACGTTTCAGTAATTCATAATTTATAAATTCGACAGTACCTATGCTGCCACTGAAAATATTTGCTTTAAAACACTAACCCCCCCCCCCAAACCCCTACCCTACCCCCCCCCCCCCCCCAACTCCCAACCCCTACCCTACCCCCCCCCCCCCCCCCCCCCCCCGGTGAAAGCAGCCTCCTCTTAGTTACCTCCTGTAAGTTTAAAATCGTTTCAAACTAAATTATCTGCCCCTAAGCTCTACGATTTGTAAACATTTAGAGTGAACCACTGCTCACCAGATCATGTGTGGGTGGGGTGGGGGTGGTAGTGATAGTGATAGAGAGGAAGAGAGGGGACTGCAAAGGCGCGCTTGCAGCTTGTTTTCTAACGGCTCCCAGAAGAGAATTATATATATAGATTGTTAAATTATGTTCTGTGATAATATAGCCATTCTTTAATTGCTTTTTGAAGTATATTGTCAATTAGTTGGTCAACTTATTTTGTCAATCAATTGCTAAACTTATCAAGTCATACAGCTAGTCAACAGGTCCACGTAATCCTCACTACTCACCATGCAGTGATGATCCAGGATGGTACCTGAACAGATCTGGAGAGGATGATAATGAATAATGGTTGCCTAGGTGATGATTCAATGACGGACCACCATCACCAAAATAATAGTCTTGATTATCTGAAGATAAAGTATTGCACATCTTAAACAATTATTTAAAAAATAGCTAGATGTACATTTTTTTTAAATATCTTTTTATGCAGCAGCTCAAACTCAGGGTCAACTATGTCGACTATGTGTTTAACATTTTTTGATAAAGGGAGGCTACTAAAATTTTAAATTGTGATAGCTTCCCTTGATTTTTTCAAAGTAGCTATCTTTCTAACATCAATATCCTTTTCTATAAGTTAAATTACCATATAATATGGATGCTTTCAATAATACTGCCGATTTAAGTAGTCATGTAGTATATACTTTTTAAAATTCTCAGCCTACAAGTTTAATTGTATACGGTTAAATAATTTGAAATATAAACAAGCTTCTCTATAAAAGGGTAAACTAAAAACCCCTTGTATTATTATGTAAATTTGAAAGCTCTGTAATGTAAATATGAAAGCTGCGAAATGTTAATATGAATGATGTGTCACTTTGTGTAATCTAAATATGAATGTTGTGTAATCTAAATATGAATGTTATGAGCTTTATGTAGGTATGAATGTGAACTTTATGCCATGTAAACATGAACGTATCTCACAAGATGAACACGACTCCTGCTCCTTCAGAAAGCTGCTGTTGGAGCTGTTGACAAAACTGGCGGTGTTGTTCAAGAAGTTGTTCACAGAAGATGCCGTGTCATTGTTCATTCTTGTTTGACCATCAGAGATTATAGAGCTAGAACCTGCAAGATTTAAGGAATTTTTTTTTTTAGTAAAGGGGGTCATCCATAAAATAAATGATGTCACGCTTTTTTTGGACGATTTTTACCTCCCCCCTCCCCTCCGTCACACAAAGCCAGACCCCCGCCCCCCCCCCCCCCCACCCCTCGAAAATGACGTCACACCTCAGCCTACAACCCCCCCCCCCCCCAAAAAAAAAATTTGCTGTTGAGTTTTTCTTAAAACATCGTTATTTTTCCCAAATTCTTGTCAGAACTCTGTCACCATCGAGTATTTGAATCAATTCATGTTACAATTTATTAAAACCGTGTCCTAAAACGCGAAATAACGGCTAAAACTCGTTTTCTAACATTGATTTTTTATAATGCAAAAAGTGACGTCCCACCCCCTTCCCCTCATCACACACCGTCACAAAAATACGGACCCCCCCCTCCTCCCCCTACGAATGTGACGTCATTTTAAGGACGACCCCAAAGTTGTGACTGGTATCCGTTTTATGTCGCTTATGATGATGCGCAAGTTTGGGGAGGGGTCGTACATAAAAGATGTCACACTCCTAGAGGGAGGGGAGTTGTAATTTTGAGACGATGTGTGATCAGAGGCATCAGAGGGAGGGGGTTCGGATAGTGTGATGTCACACTTGCATTTAAAAAAATTAAAGTCAGAAACTGAATTTTAGCCGTTATTTCGCGTTTAGTAAATATTTTTGTAAATAGGAATAGAAATCGATTAATATACTCAATTACTGAATGAGCTCAGTAAATATTGAAAAAAATAAAATCAATGTTTAAAAAAAAATTAGACTGCAATCTAGAGGGGGGGGGGGGGGGGGTCGTAGGCTCAAGTGTGACGTCATTTTAGGTTGATCTGACTTTTTGTGACGGTGTGTGATGGTGATGTGATGATGATGTGGTGGTGATGTAACGATCTGTGATGGTGATGTGACGATGTGTGATGTGATGTGATGTGATGGTGATGCGATGGTGATGTTAAGGTTGATGTGATGGTGATGTACGATGTGTAATGATGATGTGATGGTGATGGTGATATGACGATGTGTGATGGTGATGTACGATGTGTAATGATGATGTGATGGTGATGGTGATATGACGATGTGTGATGGTGATGTACGATGTGTAATGATGATGTGATGGTGATGGTGATATGACGATGTGTGATGGTGATGTATGGTGATGTGGTGGTGATGTGATGTGATGGTGATGTGGTGGTGATGTGAGTGGTTATGTGACGATTGCGATGGTGATGTGACAATGTGTGATGGTGATGAGGGAAATAAATCGCTGCTAGAACAGCAGGGTTTAAGTAAGGCTGAGACGATAGATAGGCAGTTGTATAGAGGTCAAGGTCAAATAAGGGTGATTTTTCTGATGGATTTTCCAACACTGCTACAAGCCGAACCGAGTAAATAGAATAGTAAATGCCATTAACGTTGAACAGAGGGTCTTCTCTTAACTCTAGTCATTAAAACCAAAAATAGACGGCCTATGTAATATTTCATGTACTGAATACTACAGAAGAATAGCTGGTTTGTGAGAAAACATCAGAAATCGTACACTAAAATTTAAAAAGTCGCTAGTAAGAGCTTTTTTTTTTAAAATAAATAAAAGGCTACAAGCTAAAAACCCGTAGATCACGCGTATTTTAGGTAGATAGAGAAGGGGAATGGGGTGGGGGAGACACAGGTCAAATGACTGAAGTCTGCCCTTAATGTGTCCTGTAGTAAAGACCGCTGTGTCCTTGGCTTATTAAGTAAGATTATATGGTGTTATTATAGCAGACACGTTCACTACGAATAAGATTGTAGGCAAACAGTCGCTACAACTTGACATAACCAACGACGTTGGTCAAATTTTAGAGTTCGGCCGAAGAGCTAAGCCAAGTTGTAGCCATGTAGACTAGCAGCCGAGTCGGTGAACCTGATTGGTTCATTCGTGTTGATTGTGTATTACAGTATAATTCATTGAATTCAGGCATTTGTTCGGTGTAAAGTTGAATTAAACATGTAATTAAAAACGTGTTAAAATGTTATAAGAAAAGTTTTTAAGCAAAAAAGTACCTGTTTTTTTAATGAACACACAATGGTTCGAAATGTGTTACGTCGAACTTACCCAACAGTCAACAACCCGTGCTGAGTGTGTAGCGCTGACCAGTGGTCAGACCTTGACCTGTTCGCCTAACATTGCGGCTTGTTACATTACAACCGCGCCGTATAAACCGACGCAATTGGACTCCAGCACTTTTCCAAATAGGGGAGTCAGCTTGTCCGTATCTACCCCGATCTATTTTTATCTTTCTGTCACAAAGGCGCCGTTAAAAATTCTTAAAATAAAACTTTTTTTTTAAATAACATTTTTTTACGTCTACTTTAACAAGTTAAAACATTTGAGAGATTAATAGATCTACCTTGTTCAATTCAAATTTACCTGAATAAATACAATATTTCCATGTGTTGCTGATATTCAGTCGCCCATCGAGTAGTGTCAAACGCGAGAAAGGAAGGTGGGGGGGGGGTGGCATTACACTCTGGTAGACTACACTGACTACTTTTTTTTCCAAATGGTAAAACATTTATTAAAAGACAGTTGATTAATTCACGTAAGACATTTATCAAGAGAACGAGGAATCGGGCCATCCCTTTGGTGATCACTTTTGTAACTAAAGCATTGTTGTTGACATGTGCAATTTTCTACTTTGCTTGCTTGTTGTTGGTTTTTTTTTATTTTTTTGGTAAATTTTGTTTTCTGTGTAACTTTGCTTTTTTTAATATTAAAATTAACATGCAGCGTCAAAACGGCTAGTGACAATACGGCCCCGATAAAGAACAAATGGACCCCGTCATAAAGGCTCCCGACAAATAGATCCTTGTCATTACAGTTCCCGTAGAGACTAAGTCTCCTGGCGAAACGGTCTCATTGTACACGACACCTGGCAGTGGGACCCCTTCACGGTTAGCTAAGCCAACATCCGTCAATAATACAACGTATTTAACTCTTGTTCGTTACCAGTGGCGTCGCTAGGTCGGGTGTCACCCGATGCAGCACTTCGTTGTGTCAACCCCCCCCCCCCCGCAAACAAAGTATAGCTATATATATGTTACGGTCAAAGCCCGAAGTCGGCCAATGCTAGGATTGGCCGGCCAATCCGCGCATTGGCCAATATCGCCTCCCATAGGTCGGCCAAAGTCCGAAACTTTGCTTCATTTCGGCCTTTGGCCGGCCAATCCGCAGACTGGCCATTGTGGACCGGCCAAAGTCTGAAATAGCTCTTGATTTCGGCCTTTGGCCGGCCAGTCCCGGCCAGTCCGCGGACTGGCCATGGTGGACCGGCCAAAGTCTTAATTAGAAGATCATGAGCAGATTTTGGTTTTTTTTATGCCGGTAGGATCATGCAATTAAGTCTTTATTGATTATTAATTAAAGTAAATGACATAAACATTCAAATTTTTTATTGTACTATAGTCTCAATCAATCAATATTATCATTTGTTACAACAAGTTGAACTTTTGTGGCATTTAGAATTACATAGCAGCTTGTTATTTTTACACTTGCAGCGATTTGTTGTACACTTGGTTGTGCAATTGCAGCGAGTGTAGCCTTGGCCCCCAGTCAATGATTGTGAAGATGCGATGAAGATGCGATGGTTCGTAGTGATTTTTCCTCAGTGCCAACTGACGACAATAAGAGCAGTTTTTCGTGAAGAATTGAAAACTCACTTCTAGCATACAGTTGTTTTAGAACACCATGTTCGGTTCCTAATTTGTAGAAACCGCCCTCGACGCTCATGACAACTGCAATCACGCTTCGGGGATCACCGCGACCTCTGTCAACATCTGGAACAGGGATGCGTACATTGTCACCCACTTCACCATCTTTAAATTTTGTATTTGATGTTTTAAGCATCTTAGCACCTTGATTTTGCAAGCCAGTATGAGCTGTGTTCCATGATGTCTTGTTTGTTGTGACACAATCTGCAGGTAATGTTCCCTCCGTACCCTTCGTCTGCTTCATTGGGTATTCCACAAATAGCATGGACATCTTTGCCACAGGATCCACAAGAATGAGCTGCACTACAATGTTTTTCACAAACTATACAGAATCTGTTGGCCACATTATTATCACGCAACTGGTCTGGACGTTCCGCCACGGCAGTAGATGTGTGAGCTGAGGATGTAGTTGCATTTATGGCAACCTCCGTTTCTTGTTCAATGTTCTCAAGATCTTCCTCAGTAGCTATTTTATTGAGAGCCTCTCTTGGTAGATTTGAAGTGCTAAGTCCCACTTTTGCTTTGCATCCAAACAAGGCTTCGTATGGTGATTGTTGGATTCCTTGATGAAAAGAACGATTTTTCATAAATTGAATGAATTTGAGACTCTCAGCCCAATGAGCTGATTCATTTGTTTGCATCCATGTCATCATCATGTTTTGAACATCTAGGAACGCGGAAAAGTCTTTTGAACGTTCCGTCTTGTTGCACGTGGTCGGTGACGCCGACTGTCTTTTGTTCTTTGATGATTGTCTCACCTCGTCATCATAGAGGAGGCTGTCACATACAGTTGTAGCCCATATATTGAAACTAACATGGATTTACATTTTTTTTCTTTTGACAGCCATTTGCTATGTCTGTCTCATGGTCTGGCGGCCCTTTTGATCCATGTCGCCTTGCATATATAATGCTATACAAACAAGAGCTAAACAATACGTTACTCACAATGAAACCGCACCCAGAATAATTAAAACGCGCTCACAACTTAGTCTAGATACAACATTGGCCAGGTCATCCCGGCCAATGCGCGCATTGGCCGGCCAATGTACAAAATACGCTGTCAAGTTTAAGTACTTCGGACTTTGGCCAGTACGTCCCGGCCAGTGCGCGCATTGGCCGGCCAATGTACGAAATACGATCTTAGTTCTAAGTTCTTCGGGCTTTGGCCAAGAGAGCCGGCCAATCCGCGCATTGGCCGGCCAATCCGGGGTTTGGCCGCACTTTGGGCTTTGACCGTAACATATATATATATATATATATATATATATATATATATATATATATATATATATATATATATATATATATATTTGTGTGTGTGTTTATACGTCGGCCTACAGACTTAATAGTAACGATGTTTATCTATGGTCTGAGCTTGCTTTTAAGCAACAACTATTTATGGGGTTAATAAAAAATTTAAATAAGTGGCACTTCTTTATGAATTGCTGTTGTTTCAATAAAAAAATGCATTCAGGCATTTAAGAGAGCTTTAAATTATAATGGTGCTGGAGGCAGAGGCGTAGCGAGGGAGGGCGGGGAGGGCGGCCGCCCCGGGCGCCGACCGTAGGGGGGCGCCAAAAGGGGGTAGAAAAAAAAAATTAAAAGCTCATTTTGAGCTGCAATTTTGCATTATAAACAGTCAATAAAAGACATTTAACGGCGGGGAGCCTTTGCATACTGATTTAACTGTTTTCTACATTGGTTGTGTAACTGTAAAACGTATATTTTTAAAAAACAGTGACCGGAAAAACCGCTTTCCAGCTTTACTAGATGAGGGGGGGGGGGCCTTTTCGAAGACTAAAATCTGAAAAATTCACACCGGATTAAGGAATAAACCGATATAACCCAGAAAAGAAACCCATTGAACTAAAGAGTATTTTACGATTGGGTAACATAAAAAAGATTAAGCAGACTGTCGGAGCGGGTGGATGGGATGTGACACTCTTTGCCAAAATTTTAAGAGAGAAGAAAATTAGTATATTGTACTCAATGGCGTAGCGAGGTCGGGAGTCACCCGGTGCGGCACTTAATGGTGTCACCCCCAGAGGTGTAGCGACCCTTCCCGCGGACAAACTTTCAAACTTTCGATTTGCACCCCCCCCCCCTCAAGTTTTCGATTTGCACCCCCTCCCAGGGGCGGAACTACAGTGCCGCCAGACCCCGCAATGCGGGGGGGGGGGGGGGGGGCACGTCATTTAGGGGCCCACAGCCGACCATAATATATTTTTTATATTTAAATTTTTAAACATTTTCTTGCATTTTTGACTTGATGGTTGTTTTGTAAATAAACCGGGAGTGATCTCCCCTAAACTTTCTCGAATATTCTTATATAAAATAACAGGGGATGGGAACTCGGGCTATAGACATGATTTTTAATCCATTTTAAATTACTTAAAGTTTTAAAAATAGAATAAAATCTCGTAGACAAATTAATTGCACACCAAGTGAACGCCAAATAAAAAAGCGCATAATAGTGCGCAATATTATTAGTACTTTTAAAATTTACATTAGTTTTTTGAGAAATTGGAAGTAGCGTAAATTACTACTTCCGGTCAACGGAAATTACTCAAAATTTAACAGAAGGTAGAGAATTAGATCTTTTACTTACATGTGAAATTTCATTTATCTATCTGAAATAGTACTCAAGTTATAGGCTTTTGAAAAATTCAAAGTAGAAAAAGTACCACTTCCGGTTATCGGAAATCGCTCAAAAGTTGATACGGATCTACGATTTTGATAAAATACTTATATATGAAATTTCATCAACCTAGCTGTAACGGTACTCAAGTTATCGTGTTTACACACGGACAGACAGACAGACAGACAGACACACAGACATGCGGACAAGATTGCAAAATTATGTTTTTCCGTATCAGTGAGGTGTTAAAACGTCGAGATTTGTAAAAATCTCGATTTTTTTTTTTTTGCACGATTACAAGACTTTCTCTATACTTCGTATATACGAGAAAGTAAAAAGATCACCGTAGCTGCGATTGGATTATCTTAATTCTATAGACACCCACCCCACGCTCTTGAATATTCTTTTTCCCCCTTGTTTTTAAATCACTGTGAAAGCCGAGTCCTCTTTCTCCTATAATAAAACGTATCAAAGACAAGCAAACGTCCCAAACCACTTTCATGACTTATTTCCCTTCTTTAAATTGTCAATGGGGGGTGCTCTTACGATCCTTTTAATAGATTTGTACTAAACAAATTAAAAAACAATTACTTCTCCTTATTTTATTTTTTTATAAAGTACTTACTAAAGAATGACATTGTATAAAAACGAAATGTATTTAAAATTAATAATATAAATACGAAAAAAAATAAAAATAAACATAACACGACATACCATTACTTATACAAAGCTTTCACGGTTTATATACTTTTGACCGACTTGAATTGAATTTGTCTTATAGCAGAAATAAAATAAAACTGATTCTCCAAATAGACTAATGCGCTCACACAAATAACAAGTTGATGTAATTTGTTTTAATTGAAAAAAAAAACATTTGCGTTTGTATATATATATATATATATATATATATATATATATATATATATATTGGGGGGGGGCCTAAAATTTTTTTTTGCGGGGTGGCCCTTTTTTTTTCCAGTTCCGCCACTGCCCCCTCCTAAAACTTTCGATTTTCGGGGGGGGGGGGGGGGTGGGGGGGGGGCGGGGAGACTTTCTTCGGGGGGGGGGGGGGGGGGGGGGCGGACACTATTAAAGGTATATATTTTCTATATAAATTATATAAATTTCATTTCGTTGGGGGGGGGGGGCGCGGTAGAATTTGTTCGGGGGCTTTGCCCCTTCCCCGCTAAGAGATGCCTGGAAGAAACTCTGGTCTTGACATCCGCGGAAGCCCTGAGACTGAATTACCAAACCTCTCGGGTTCGATGGAGCCCACTGTTCTAAGCTCTTTTGATTTTCTACTTTTTATTCGTTTCGGCATCTTAAGGGGAATTTAATTGGCGTCCAGTGAAGTTTTAGGGAACGACAATCAGCGTAATTGTTAATTTTTTTTTCAGACAAACACACACGCATATATATATATATATATATATATATATATATATATATATATATATATATATATATATATATATATATATATATATATATGGGGGCGCCAAAATGAAAGTTCGCCCCGGGCGCCGGGAGGGGTCGCTACGCCTCTGGCTGGAGGTAGGAACTGCGTGTGGTTGGTGGGTTGTATAAAATGGTTACGACAGAGGCGTAGCAAATGGGGGCCGGGGTGCGGACCGCACCGGGGTGACATCATTTAGGGGGGGGGGGGGGGGTGACACAAAGGGAAAAAATAGCAAAATTTATAGAGAAAAACGAGGGGGAGTGCAAATCGAAAGTTTGAGGGGGGGGGGGGGTGCAAATCAAAAATTTTGAAAGTTTGTCCCTGGGAAGGGTCGCTACGCCTCTGGGGGTGACACCATTAAGTGCCGCACCGGGTGACACCCGACATCACTACGCCACTGGGTTAAGATTATACTAAATGTGGTCCTAGTATTTATTTGACGTGAACCAATATGTCGTGAGCCCATTTGTCGTGAACCAATATGTCGTGAGCCCATTTGTCGGGAACCAATATGTCGTGAGCCCATTTGTCGGGAACCAATATGTCGTGAGTCTGTATATCACGAGTAAGGGATCATCCATTTATTTTACGTCCACATTTTTTTGGGATTTTGCCGCCCCCCCCCCCCATAAAAGTCCACACAATTTCCTATTAAAAGTCCACACGCGTCCGCAAAAGTCAATTTTTTTCGGGACCCCCCCCCCCCCCCCCCCCCCGTCATTATAGGATGACCCCTAAGTATAACGGGGGCTCATTTCACAGGGCACAATATGTCTGTGCCCTTTTGTCAGGGGCTTATTATACTGTGTCGTTCTGTCGGGGGCTGGTGTGACAGGGTCGTTAAGACGAGGTCGTTTTGTCTCGGGCCGTTTTGACGGTGCAACAAAGACACTATGAAACAGCCTACTGTAACACTCTGTAACTACTTACTACTTAGTTTGATTGGTTGTTTAATTACACCCCCCCCCCCTTCCCCCGATACTTTTGTGCTTATCTCTTCCAGTAATTTAAAGAAAAATGTTCTGGCTCTATGTAACGACAGAAGCGTTAGGTGATTAACAATAATCGTTTAAACGCCCCCCCCCCCCCCCGAGTTTCTTCCAGGCATCTCTTCGGGGATGAACGAAATGGAGTTTATATAGAAAATATAACTTTTACCAGTGTCCGCACCCCCCCCCCCCCCCCGAAAATATCAAGTGACCCCCTATAGAAAAAGTCTTGAAGAAACACTGTCTCCCCCCCCCCCCCCAATACCAATTTGCTTCATTGATAAATTTATAAGACACCCAATCAGAATTCAATTTAAAAAAAACCCAATCACCTCCATAGTCCACAACTTTCCCACGTGAGACCATAAGTTCCATTGACTTCTTTGTGTAAGGCAGGAAAGTGATGACTCATCGCCTGCGCGCGTGCGTGCGTGCGTTCGTTATCAGCGCTGACGAATGGTATTCCGCCTCAGGAATGTTACTATTTTAATTTTTACCCGGGCCTGTACTGTGTAATGAATTCCACGTGGTTTTCACTTCACCGACACGAAGCCAGGCGATAATTTGACCCACCGGGGTGTAGGTGGGAAAAAAACGAGTGCTGTCAGTTATTTTTCATCTATTAACTGTAATTTATTATTTTAAACGAATCACCTCCCTAAAAGAAATAAACCGGGAGTGATCTCCCCTAAACTTTCTCGAATATTCTTATATAAAATAACAGGGGATGGGAACTCGGGCTATAGACATGATTTTTATTCCATTTTAAATACTTAAAGTTTTAAAAATAGAATAAAATCTCGTAGACAAATTAATTGCACACCAAGTGAACGCCCAATAAAAAAGCGCATAATAGTGCGCAATATTATTAGTACTTTTAAAATTTACATTAGTTTTTTGAGAAATCGGAAGTAGCGTAAATTACTACTTCCAGTCAACGGAAATTACTCAAAATTTAACAGAAGGTAGAGAATTTGATCTTTTACTTACATGTGAAATTGCATTTATCTATCTGAAATAGTACTCAAGTTATAGGCTTTTGAAAAATTCAAAGTAGGAAAAGTACCACTTCCGGTTATCGGAAATCGCTCAAAAGTTGATACGGATCTACGATTTTGATATAATACTTATATATGAAATTTCATTAACCTAGCTGTAACGGTACTCAAGTTATCGTGTTTACACACGGACACACAGACAGACACACACACACACACACAGACATACGGACAAGATTGCAAAATTATGTTTTTCCGTATCAGTGAGGTGTAAAACGTCGAGATCTGTAAAAATCTCGATTTTTTTTTTTTGCACGATTACAATACTTTCTCTATACTTCGTATATACGAGAAAGTAAAAAAAACAACCACTGAATCGATTTGATAGTATGCGTCAGTGATAGTCTCCCTTTGTTTAGCTATGGAATGCTCTCATCCTATGAATGAATCATTTCTCATTGTGTATGCCCTTGTTATTTTTACCTGAGTGTTTCGAGTTGAATATCTGTAATGTAATGCCCAAAGGAAACTTTCCTGTATCACCACTTCTGTCGGTCTCTAAACTAAACACTGGTCCTTTTTACGCTTACTCATCACAAATCAAATGTTTCTTTTCTGCTTATTTTAGTTTAACTAACGGGACTTCTATGTTCGGATACCGAGCACGCACATTATTGGTGTGAAATTCTCCTTGTTCAAATTCGGTTGAATATCAAAAAAATGCCCCCCCCCCCCTCCTTTATCTGGGCTGAGAAATTATGTTGATTTTTTAAAGTATTTTTCCATCAAGATTTCAATAATTTATTGGTACAGGGTAGACATAAACAGACAAAAAATATAATTACTCCTATGTCTGATTAGTAAATTAGCTTGGTTGATTGTAATTTATTTAGCTTTTTAGTCAACAAAGTTAATGAAAAATTTTCCACTAGTTTTTAAATCCTGGTTCAATTGAAAATGGGTGATCAAGTTCATCAAAGATCAATAAATACACCAGGGTGCTGGTGAACTTTGTTGTCACTGAAACAAGTGTTTAAGAAGAGGATACTATACAGGTCTAACTAGAAGTATCATGGCAGTAATTTGTGGCTTTATATTTTTGACAGTGACACATGCATCTTAAATGACTATAACTAAGTAGAATAAGAAACCATGTTTATTTCTGAACCAATCAAAACAGCTGTTACAAAGTTTTAATTTTGAAAACAATGTTTGTGTAGCAGTAAAAAACAGGACTTTACCACCAGCCTAACTACCAATTGGCTATCTGCCTACAAAAGCAATTTTTTCAAGCACAAACCAGGAATTAGCTTGAACTATGAGTTTTACTGGGAAATTCAAGCCTCAATCTGGAATAATGTACACACATGTGCTGTATACAAATTTAGCAACATTAATATTAAGAAACTTGAAAGTTACAATTTATAAAGAGAACCCAAGAACACTATTGGTATGGATAGATATAAATAGGATCAGGAAGCATTAATGCATAGACCATTGTATATTACTTTAATACATTTCATCTAGAATCTAGTATTTTTTCATGAACGGATTTGCAGTCCACTATTTGAATTTGCTCTAATTGAACAAGTAACTAGATAATAAAACAAGAGCAAAATTTGATTAGCTGTTTACTTTTATTATAGCTTTTAAGAGTAAACATTTTACTTTAGTGTTGGTATGCTGTTAAAAAAAGCTATCTGGTTAGCATAACTGAAGATAGCATGAATCCTCAAACAGATTTAAGAAGAAGCACTTATACAAAAAGTTGAAAAGACAAAACACAATTTGTGACTGAATATTTTCACTCTCATTCATAAGCATGTTTATTTTTTTTATTGTGTCTGCATTCACTTTGTGTTCAATAAAAAAAAAATTACAATGATTCAGAAATGAGAACAGTGTTCTCTACTACTCAAAGTTTACAAATGGTGGAGTACAGATAAGATAGTTGGTTTATCAAATATGTGAGCAATATTGTACATGAAATAGAAATGGCAAAAAAAAATGAACAGAGCTGTCAATTTTCTTTCAAAACGTCCGCGCTACATGCAAACATGTGGAGGAGGCTTCATTAGAAGAAAAACCTGAGCATCAACAGGCACAGCGCAAGTAGGTCAGGGTAAAGTTTCCAATAGGTGATTAATTTAGTACTAAACGTGATGCAATTTTCTTTTGCATATTATAAATTGAATTTTTTAAAGATATTACTTTAAATACATTTAATCAACAGGTAAAATTTAGAAAATACACTATGAGGTATGATTTAGCACTTAAATATAAAACCAGATGTATGTAATGAATGCCTCCAGTCAAAACATTCGTTAAAACCATGCAGTCACAAACAATAGCTATATATAGTTCTAATAAAGCCCAGAGATTGTTTTTTCCCCCAGGAAAAAAGCAAACAAGTGAAGCATAGAGCCAGAGGAACAGCACGTGAGGCACCTTCACACCAGATCTATCTACTTGTGTCCCTTGTTCAATCAACACAGTCTGGCCAAAGTTTTCAATACTGGACGTGTCTGTCTCCACTGATTAGCTCGAGTTTTAACTTCTATGCCAAAACAATGCCTTAAATACTTAAAATCTGGTACAATATTAGCATATGTCATATAATAAAAAGAAATGTAAGTAACGCATATAAATTATATAATGAAAATTTTTTTTTTGTGTTTAAAAAGATACAGCTAATAGGAAACTAAAAGCTAAAAATGTTATGAATTACAGTGAAATGTATTTACTTCTTATTAATTTAAATAAACTAGGTACATAATAAATAATCTATGCTATAAACCCTCCCATAATATCCCAGGATACAAAATTTTGAAAAGGACCTGCTGAAGGGCATTGAGTAAGAAATATTGAACTAAAAATAACTATTCAAACACAAACTTGTTAGATTAAAAGTACATCACCAAATTTACCAAAACTTAAAGAGAAAAAAAGATTATATTTTGTTTGGTTCCTAAAAAAAAACCGCCCTTACACAAATACTACAGTTATCAATTTTTAAATATTGGCTAGCATTTAACATGTTAAAACATGGGCGTGAATCAATAGCCAACACTCTTCAAGTAATCTTTCATTACTTCTACAGCCTCGCGCACTTGGGCAGCCTTTATATCTGCATCAGGATTAAAACCAATGATACCTGCTTGGTCTGGAATAAAATAAAAAAAAATTGAAGTTCAGATGGCTAACCATAATTAAACTGGAAGTACCAAAATAAACTTCTTTGCAAAGTTTATATCTTGAAAAAGTTGCATTAATAACATAATATTGATTGTACATGCTATTAGATTCTTTAATGTCTTTAAAATAATATGAAATAGTTAAAAATTTCTTGTTACTTACTTGAGAGACTTACTACTAAACTATAATCTTTGTAATCGCCTTTGCCCTGACAGATAAGTATGTCTGGTTCCATTCGCAAACATGTGAATTTCAGACCCCCCATCTGAAAAAAACAAAACAAATTGAAACATGCATTTCAAAGCCCCCCATCAGACAAAAAAAATTATCACTAACATTTGTGTTCATTGTTCTTCAACACAAGTGACCTGCTTGGACTTTGACTACATACAGAAATGCGAACAATGTCAGAAAGCAATTTAACTTATAATGAATAAACATAGGTGACTGTACAGTTAGAATGGAACTAAGGTTACATACAGTGCAGGCTATGCTTATTAAGTAATAAGAAAACTATATATAACACTACTTTCTAAATATAAGATTATAAGAAGATAGCTGCAATGTTTAATGACCACTACACATTATAATAGTAAGCTTAATTTGTAGAAACAAAAGCAGGTCCTGCACTAGATCTTTAATGGTTTCTGGACATCAAATAAACTGGCAATAATTTATAGATTTAAATAATAATTTTAGAGAATTGATAAAGCATATCCAAGATCACTTACCGTAATACCTGTGCCCATTACATTCATGTCTTGATTAGTCACAGCACGTAAGACGTTCGCCACCTCATCAGCAGTTACTGGGAACATAGATTTGTCTGCAGACTCTGCCCACACTCCTCCTTGCTTCCCATAAATACCTGCATATTTGCACCTTCCCTTTCCAGTCTCAAGATTTGTTACATAAGCACCCCAAGACATGATGATTTATCTGAAACGAAAATAGTTTTTTTTTAAAAAATAACAGATTTTTTTCATAATTATATTGTTCACTTTTTTCCCTTCAATTTAACAACCACGTTAAAAGCTAAGAGTAAGTGGGTACATGAATATAATTTTTCTAATTTGAATTGTATATATTAATTTAAGTGTTAGTGACTACAGTACCAGATCAAAAAATAAATTGATATTTGCTACCTTATTCTGGAAGTTACAACCAGCAAGCACATCATGAACAAAACATCCTACACATTTTAAAAGTTTTTCAGTGCAGTAATGAGTATTATTATACACAGTTGTTTAAATAACACAGCTCTTTATAAGAGCCTTGAAGTGAAACATCAGACTTTTGTCAATTTTTAAGAATTGAGTTTTAGTCCATGGTACAACACATTTATAACTTTGATAGAACTTAAGCTAGTAGTACAAGAACAAAAGTACTTTTGAAAACAAAAATGGCATAAACAGTTTATGATACAAGCTAATGACTTGTATCTATGAATTTTAACAAAACAAAACATAAATTGACATAAAAAATGAAAAAGAAACCAAATCACAAGACAAGTGGGGTTTTTCTATCTTTAATTTTAAGAAAATATTGGCAGAAATAAAATGTATTGGGTTTAACAATAAGGAAAAAAACATACACAATGAAAAATAGTAATCAACAATTCAATCATTCCATAAACCATGTTTACAGAAGCATTTTTACTATTTTCAAAGACAATAAATTACAAAGACAAAACATGCAACTGAGAATTACTTGGTTGATTGAATGTTCTCGATAGATGCAAATTTGTTCCTTAAAAACTAAAATAAATACAATCTCTGTATTGTAGAGCAATACAAAAAATAAATTTGATCTTTTAATTTTTTTTAAAATCAATCAAACCAAAATAATTATATCTGTAATTGCCTAAAATTATTGTTAGTTGTTATTTTTTTAAAAACCTCATCATAAAAAAAGAATACCTTACCATAAAAAGAATAGTCAGTGAATTACAAAAGCTAAAATCCTCTATACCAGGAAGTTAATTAAGTAGCCTACTAGGAAGTGTTTTATTAAAAGAGCACATCATGACTATGCTCTATGTCAGTAGAGATAATGACAAAAACAGAATTCAAACAATTGCTGATACTTTAACAAGATATAAATGATAGAATTGTCTTTTTTGTCCACTTCAGACTATCTTGTAATAGGCATGGCTAAGTAGGCATTACTATATAGTAACAAAACAATTCATAACAATATAAAAATGTTAAAATTAACTCAGCAGACCTCATTAGTATTACAGTAAACCTACTGATCATCTAATTACAGAGAATACATAGTACTAATGACTGCTAGGGTCTTCAATAGTTACTCTTAACCAAGTAATCCCTGATGTCCTCTACTAGTTTGGTGGTGTCACGCTCTGATGGACCACACATCCCCCCAATAATGATGCAGGTTTTAGCTAGAGCAGCATGTACAAGGTAGTTTGCTGAGGTATCTTCAGCACCTCTGCACTTGGCTGTAACTGTGTCAGGGAGCATACGAATTACAGTGTAGCGTAGACCACCAATGGTAATACCATTGGGGAACTGCTGGCCTTGTATCCCTGTCACAATTGCAGCGACCTCTTGTTGTGATGCTTTCATCTGTGGTGACTGAGCCCATGGCCCTCCTTCAAGACCATATATCCCACAGATCTGAAGACCTGAGGCCTGCATGTTGGTAATGTATGCATCCCAAGCACTCATTTCTAGGTGATTTGACTAACCAAGGATAACAGAAAACTATGCAAGTTCCAGAGCTAACAAATAGTTTTTTGCTGAAAAGACAAAAATAAAAAATTATAAGTAACGGTATGCAGAAAAGTTGTGAATCTAATGTACAAATCAATTATATGCAACATATCCTTTACGGGAAAAGTGCCAAGAAAATTTATGAGAAATGACTATCAGTAAAATTTACTTTAAAAAAAAAATGTATTATTACCCTTCATTCTTTAATGTTAAATGCATGCATCGTATAAAAACTAATAATAATATAATTTCGCAACTATACTACAGTAAATATATTACCATAGATCTGTGTATAATGTTCACTACTAAAAGCTAGTAATAGAGCATATTAGAAGCTAATAATTTCTAATTAAATATGGTAAAAAAATATATAAACCAAAATGTTAGTAAAAAAGTAGTAAAGAAAAAGCTGTTTACAATAAGTAGTTCTTTTAGTATAGATTAAAAGTGTCCAACATCCAACTATGCAGTTAAATTTTATACAAGAAATAGAAATTAAAAATCAATAAAAATCATGCAACAGTGAAGTCAATACAATAGCTGAATACAACAGAACACAGACTACACATTAATTTACACTGGATTGCATAAGACAAGCAAGAAAAATCTACAACCACTAAAATTTCAAGCAAGAAATCGGTCCCAAATATGTTTCCATCCATATGTCGCCAAATATCTTACACATTTTAAGTATACATAAGCCATGCATGACAAAAAGCACGAAACTTCCAGCACTATAGAATGTTACAGAATTTATATATAGTGCATGCAATAAAGTATAATTACCTGTAATTTTATTGGACCTCAACAGCAGCGGAAACCAGCATAACCAATTCTTAACAAAAAAATATCTAGCACGCACATAAATTTTTACAAATGTATGTCAATGTTGGACCATAGACATAATTGTGTGTGTAACTAATACATACACTGCAAAACATGATTTAAAATAACTAAAGATAGTATGTAAAGTTATAGCATTGTTTGGTGAAAAAAGCAACACCAACAGAATAATTCAAAATACAATAACAAAAAAAGTCCAGCTGTGACAGTATTCACAGCTCTGTTAACTGCAGAAAATTCAGTTCACACCAAAATACTAATAATTAGAGAATACTTATTTACATCTATTTAGTTATAATAATATTCTAATGGAAACAAGCTATTCCACAAAACAGGATTCCAAATAAGCACATGTCCAGCTCACACTTAAGAAGAATTTCAAGCAAATACATTGGCAGTCTAAAAATAGATGCTCCTAATCTCAAAGCAGGTGAACTTTCTGTAGCATGAAAGTTACCTGCAGGATTCATAGCATGAAAATTACTGTAATGAGGTGAAATGTACTAAATGACTTAAATTTCCTCTTTAACAAACTGTGAATGTTAGAAATAAACTTTCAACACAGACATTGGTAAACTACTAATTAACAGATACAATTTTAGTACCAACTTGCTCTACCTTCCACATTTCCTGCCATTGTTTAGTCCACTTGTACTATTTCCTAAGCAAACTTGAAAAACACTTTAGCAATAAGAGCACACAATCCAAAAAGAAACTTTTACACTTTTTACAGAATGTTAGTTTTAATCAATTGGTCAAAACAGCAAAGTCATCAGAACAGTGGCACAGACAACCTCACTAGAAATAACTAGCTTAAACTTTGGAAAAATATTCAATGAAAAAAAAAAAAACAAGTTACAAAACTGATAAAAATACCACAATGGATTCATCAAACTGTTGGTATAATGGTTTTCTGGGAGTAAAGAAAGCACTAAGAAGTACTTCTTTAAATATTTTAAATTATTTTAATGCAAAAGTACATGGTCTATTTATTACTCTAAAACAGTGCTTGTGCCTTCCATATTAATTACTTTTAGGCTACATGGCAATAACTAAAAATAAGATAAATAACCATAATTCTTAATCTTTAAAAAAAAAAACTATTCAGTTAACATAATTAAAATTGATTAATGAAATAATATCCAGCTTTAATATAGGCTGTTTTTTTGTGAAGGATTTGTATTTTGCCATAGTAATCTAATTATTGGAATTTTCTTTTTAAAACTCAAGTTAAAAAAAGTAGGCATACCTATTCCCTAGGGGTATTCCTATTTGTATTCAGCAAGGAATGATTGCTGCCTGAGAAATGCTCTATCTGGGCTATTCCCAGTCTGTTGAGAATAGCCTTTGCCTCAGTTTAAAGCTTTATAGGAATATATTAATAACTAACAATAAAACACCCATACATTCAATCTTTAATTTAACAATGGTTCTTGATAAAAAACACACAAGTTGGCTGAACTTATGTCCGTAAAAGGTGTAACTATTGACCTGACATTCAACCAGGTTAATAATTATAATTAGGCTAGACCATGATGAATAAACTTTTTCTAGCTATTGTTAACAAAAATCTAAATTAATGAAGATCAGTTACCTAATGATAATTAAAAGATAATATAACTGCAGCCAAGTTGAATACTAAATGGCCTACAGCCTGCAGTTTAGTAATTTGTGCTTTATAAAAAAAAAGCCCTATGTGATGAAGGAATGAACATTTCTGAAAAATCATATTGTTTGACCATACAGAATGTAATGAAATAAAGGTGGTTGTTTGCACATTGTAGAATAAATCAGCCTTGAAGTTTGACCATACAGTCACATCATATTGAGTGTGGCTCTTATTATACCACTAAGTCAATGCTACTGGCCTAGTTAGTTCAAGACCAAGAGGCAGGCCAACACATAGTGAAGTTTTTGTGTAGGCCCTAATGAACAATGATATATATTTTCTAGATGTAGATAATAGGTATACATGGCATGTCCTAAGTCTTAAGGCAAAGTGACAAAAATCTGTATAAATTTTCCAAACCTAGAATTTTGACAATTTGGATCTAGAGATCTAACCTAGATCTAGACCTAAGACTAGAATTAAAAGAATTGACTAGATTCTAGATCCAGATCTTAAAGAATTAGATTCTATTTAACTAGACTAACTTAACTAACAAGTTCTAGGCCTAGCCTATGCCTATACAAAACTTGTGCAAATACAATACTTTATTCCTGTGTGATTGTGATAAACAAAGGACAACCCTAAAAATAGATGTTTTAAAAAAAAGTGTAGTTTAAGTAAACAAAAGTCAGTGGAATCAATGGCTGGACAGAAGTTCAGGAAAAATTACAATTAAAATTCCTTGTCTGGGTCCTTCCCTTTTTTAACACCTCTTCCGGGCTCCAGTAAAGAGATTAGATCTTGACTAAAATAGATCTAATTTATCTACAGCATCTTACGATTGCTACAAAAGTGTAACTAGATCACTTTTGTTTCCAATAAGGGTAATTATACAATTCAATTAAGTATAATTATAACTGAGAAATGTAATAATTTAAAGTGGTAAGTCAATCATGATGAGTCAGTCGTGGCCAACCGGAACTACTCATGTGTAGTCTAGTAGGAAGGTCTACCTTCTTGAGACATTTTTTCCTTGGATGTTTTACGGCAATACACTAGTTAATTCTATCTTATATGAGTAATAACATTCTAAAAAAGATGTACTGAATTAAAACTTTAAATACAAAATAGCTTACCGTAATAGCCTTTTAGAAGAAGCCCAACAATAGAGTCTTGTCTAGGCAGACGAAGGCAACGATGAATCGGTGTTCGTCAAAGATGGATGATCGCACACCGGGCAGCGAATAGAAGAGTGGCACAAATGGCTAAATAATATCCAATCGCATTGCAGGACCTTATTTGCTGCCTCAAACTTGTATTCCCTTGGCCTAGGCCTAGTGGGTTGAAATGAATAAGAGAATCACATGATCTTTCAAGTGCCAAGGGGTGGGTTTTAGCTGGTGTTAAAAGTCACAACACAGTTAATAAGAAATAGTGTAGGCCTACTTTGTTGTCACCATTATAAAAAATATTGACAAAGTAATATACATAGAGAAAAAACATGCAACATTTTAAAGCGGAATTAAATTCAACAGGCCACATGTTTCTTCTTTTTAAAGTTGAGCTAACAGTTGTACAATATACAGTAAATAATGCGCATACGCCGCTATAATTAAATAAAAAAATATAGGCCTAATCTTAAGGCATAGAATCTATAGATCTAATATTTACCGAATTAATCTAGTATTTAATAATAGAAAACCTTTTCTATGACTGCATCATTTTTTTTTCAACAAAATATCCACTCCTTCTTTGAATTAAATGCAGAGTTTCTTCCAGGCATCTTCGCCCCCCCCCCCCCCCCCCCCCGCGAAAATTTTTTACCGCCCCCCCCCCCCCGAACGAAATGAAATTTATATAATTTATATAGAAAATATATACTTTTAACAGTGTCCGCCCCCCCCCCCCCGAAGAAAGTTTACCGCCCCCCCCCCCCGAAGATTTTAAGTGCCCCCCCCCCCGGAGAAAAAAGTCTGGAAGAAACACTGATTAAATGTTTTAATTCAGTTAGATCTAGATCTAAATACTTTTCACCAAAACCAGTATTATCAGTATGGTATTTATAATACGTTTGAAATTCATTTTAGAATATATTTTTTAATCTCCAAAATCTAACGAGAAGAAAAAAAAAATTAAGAATCACGCTAGTGACACAAGTCTTATATTAACAGCTCCCCGCTACCACCCCGTTAACATTAAAATATTTTTTTTAACAAAATAGGCTTATGAGAAAAGTGATCTTGAATAGTCTTGAAAATCTGGTTCCAAATGGTTCCAAATTTGTGTTACCAGAAGGCATATTTTAAAAATAAAATTGAATATTTTATAACATTTGTGTAACAATATTAAGTACAGTATTTTATCATGGTAAACAATTGTTCTGAGTTTTATTGTTTTACTACCCTGGCCCTTCCGGTTGACTTCAATGTGAGGTTGAGGGCAGTTTTTGAAAACATCAGTTTAATCGATGGTTCCCAAACGACTTTAATTTTTACAATTGTAACTATAATTTTATCGCTTGCGATATTTTTAAAAAGATTATTCAAAAATTTAGTATGATTATAGGCCTACCATGAAAAGTAGGACTACTCCTTTATTACAACTTTTGGTTCACTTGCTCCCGAGTCATAGCAGCTTAAGTCGGTCATTTTCATCTTGATTTAGATCTATGTTAAGATCCTATAAAATGCAGTAACAAAGTTTTGACAAAATTAGGTTTTTAATTTTTTTTTAAACAAAATTAATAATTGCGGTATAAACGATATAAAGTAGCATATTATCAGTGTCGCGCTTTTGCACACATATATAGTGCGTTCAGTTGACACGCAATTTTGTTTTAGAAAACCCGCAGGCTCAAGTTATATTATAGCTCTTCTTTTTTTTAGCGCAATTTCCATACTGGCAATTGTTTTAGCGCAATTTCCATACTGGCAATAGCGTTTAATAATGCGTCATTTCTGGATGGATGGATGGATGTGTGTCCGCAGCTTTAAGTCGTATCTCCTCCTCAACGAAGCAATATCGAGGACTAGTTCCAAAGCAAATATGTTAAGCAAGTTCCAAGGATGATTGTGGGCCAAAAAAACTCCCGGAATTCCTTCCTGGATTTCCCGGAAAAGCCAAAAAAAAACCTCGAACAAATGCAGTTTTTGCTCCATATCTCGGCAACCAGACCACTTAGCGACTTGAAACATTTACCAATCGATTCCTGCCATAATTTAGAACAATATTGCCGAAGAAAGTTTTCAAAAATATCCTTTCGTTCGGTCACAACAAAATAATTAAGAACATTTAAACTGAGCATCGTGTAGGCCTAGGATGATATTTACTACTTTTTTAAAACTGAGCATCTTGTAGGCATACTCGTTAAAATAAAACTATTTCCGTTGATATAGGTTAATATAGTTGTCTTTTTTTTACTTATTAATTCAAACGTTATTTTTGTACCCTATTAATTTATTTATAATTTTTTTTTATTTCACCCAATGTTCTCACTTTGCTTGAAGGGTGGCCCATCTCCAAAATACTTTGTTATCATTACACACGGCAACGGTGAAAACATGCGACTAGAGGCGGCTCCATCCCACAATAGGCGGCCCCATCCCACAATAGGCGGCCCCACCCCTCAACAGGCGGCTCCTTCCCAAAAGAGGCGGCCCATCCCACAACAGGCGGCCCATCCAACCAGAGGCGGCTCCATCCCAAAAGAGGCGCCCCCCTCCAAAAAGAAGCGGCCCCATCACTAAATCCTGTCATGAGATTACCAAAGCCGCTAAAAGTGCAGCGAAAATTAAACAAGATTTTTCTAAAAAATCACCTAAGATACCGGAAGACAATTATTTTAGACGCATCGCCAACCGCCATTGAGGAACTTCAACACACGAGTCAGATGACACGTAAACACAAAGCAAAAGTCAGCAATCGGCATCTTATGAATCCACCATACAAGCAATGAATACTTTAAAAATAGAAATTCTAAAAACGATACATGAACTCAGTCCGATTTCTAATTTCTACAAAAGGAAGTACAGTATCGCTTCGAGTTTTTACTGCCGATATCTCTGTTATTGTTATGATTTGGACAAGAATGTAGCCTTTTTGCAGGATAACATTTTTAAAAAAAAACGACAATACAATATGTGTCGCGTATTTTTCTTCTATAAAAAGGAAAACAGGAAAACTAACGAAGGCGTGGAGGCGTACAGCAGAAAATCCAAGTGAGGTGTGGAGGCAGAGGCGTAGCGACCCTTCCCGGCGCCCGGGACAAACGTTCGATTTGCACCCTCCCTCAAACTTTCAATTTGTTTTTCCAACCCATTTTGGCGCCCCCGCCCCCCCCCCCCCCTTGCTACGCCTATGCGTAGAGGCATACAGCAGGAAAGCAACTGACAAGAGCCGTACTATCTTGCGGAACTGCGAAGAAATATGCCAGAGACCGTCAATAGTTGAAAGAACTTTCTTTGGCGGTGCAATGTGTCTTGGGCACTGAAGTGAAAAGATGATGATGGTTATCTCTGTTTATGTTTACGATTATGATAAGAATATTGCCAGTTTTTAGTTGTTGTTTTTTTTTTTTTTTTTTTGTTTTTTTTTTTTTTGTTTTTTTTTTTATAAAAACAAACAAACATTACAATCTTATGTCGTGTTTTCTCCACAGGTGTCGCTGTTAGAAGTTGGTTTACTGAGCAATAAGGTCACGCTATCCGTACTGTATCATTTCAACACAAAACTGTATCCAATCGATTTTTTTTTTCAACCAGTAGATTTTTTTTTTGGTTAAGGGTTTGGACAAGTGACTTTAATAGTAAACAAGGTCTATACTATAATAAAATTATAGCTCATGTTCGTGCCTATGAAGGTTACTGCCAATAAAGGCAGCAGCTATGAACGATATAACCCAAGCCGGTTTTGCGGGCTGCCCTCTACTCCTACCTCACACGAACTTACCTTGGTGACAAGCCCCAATGATTCGCTTGGTTGCATGTAGATTTCAGCATGTTTTATACGCCAAGTAGACTGTAAAACCATAATATAAGCCCACTCTACAACTCAGTGGGATCGAGTCGTCTATTTATAATGTTGATATTGTAAAAATAAAATGGACTTTAAAAAAATACAGGTAATTTTCTGTTATCCTCACTCTTATTGCTGGTGTCAGGTACGGTTGGATCAAGTTTAGCTGTTAGGGTTAGGGAATTATCAGAATTAGGATTATCTATAGGCCTATATCCAAGAGCATAGCAATGGACAGTGGTGAATCAATTAAGGAGATATGGTTATTAGAAACAGTGGGCATATCTGGCAGTAAGGGATAAAAAAAAGCCTCAGTCAAATAAAACACAACTTGACATATCTTCCACTCCCTCCTACACTGACACGCACACATATATTATACCTTTAAAATTGGCAAGGATGAAATACATATAAACTACACGTATAACACTAATCCATACATAAGCATAGGTAATACGGTAGATGTGAAAGGGGTGGGGTTGGGGTGAATTCATCAAAATGCCAAAAAATTCAATGAAGTAAATGAGATGCTGGAAAGTTTTGAGAATTCTCGCTACTCTCCTGTCACTTATGCTCTGCCAGTGTGCCAGAACACAGAGGATATCATCCTAGTAGGCTGTCCAGTGCAGAAAAAAGTTTTTCAACAATTATGATAATTACCTTGCGTAATAACCAGTGGCGTAGGCGGGGGGGGGGGCGGTTAGGGGGGTCATACCCCCCCCCTTAGACCCCTAGGTATATATATATATTAAGTATGAGGGGGGTGCAAATCGAAAGCTTGTCCCCGGGTAAAAATTGGAACACCCCCCCCCCTTGAGACGATCCTGGCTACGCCACTGATAATTAATAAATAATAATAATAGCCTATATTATACGTGAAAATAAGAGCAATAATTACAGAATTGTCTCGTTTTTGATGATGATGTTTAGTATTTAAAGAACATGTTATCATCTGGTCACGACTAGTAGCGGAAATATAACGGTTTGGAGTTTATATTTAAATTCTTTAATAAAGAATAGGCTGTGTTTTAGTTGCACATTACCAGAATAAATGGCGAAATCTCTTTGTGGGTTTTTTTTCTGGAAAAGGAAGAAGACAAGTTTTAAAAACCACAGGGAAATGAAATAGTTCAAAGGATTCAGTTTTTTTTAGGAAGTGAATTTTTTTTAAAAAGAGAGCGAGAGAGAAAGAAAACTCTATTAAGCTTTAAAACGGTCTTAATATTATATCCTGTTAGAGTTATGGCTTTGAAAAATCT